AGAAAGGCAAGCCTTTCTTCCTTTCCATTGGCTAAGGCTCCTCCCCAAAGAGAGGTAGGGAAGGAGGGAGAGCTTGCTTTGCTTGGCTGCCTTAATCACACGGGAGAAATACAAAGCACCTTTAAGACCAACAAAGTTTTATCCAAGGTATGAGCTTTTGTGTGCCTTACTACAGTGTGTGTGTTTTGTTGGGCTCGTTATGCCAGGGCTCTCCTGGGTGCAACTGGGTTCCCTCCCCCTTTTCACTGTATTCATGCCCTCATGATCCAGTCTTTCTCAGTAGGAAAGCAAGGTGAACTATTTAGACAAGGAATAACAACAAGCCAATGAGGTGGATTAGGCTGAGAGTGTGTGCCCAGACCAGGTTCACCCAGCACATTTCCTTTGGGGATTTTGAACTTAGACTTCCCAAATAGTAGGCTGATACTGACCACTGAGGGAAGACTATAGTTTTGTAGACAAATACATAATCCTCAGTCTATGCCATGGGACCTTCTCATGTTCTTGACCAGCACCCAAAGCAATTTATGTACAATGGCTCGCAATGCCATTTCATGTTTCCCCCTGGGTACTAGGCCCAGAACTCTGAGCATGAGATTTCTGTAATGAATGTCAATAAATCAAAAGTAGGTTTGCAGCTTACAGATTCACACTTGAACAGCATACTCAAATTGCTACAGCAGACATTTTGATGCAATAATTCAGAGCAAGAGGTGTCAGTTATCAGACCGTTAAATAACAAAATATTGCAAGAGGGTTAATGTTTTAAGCATGTTTTAAGATAAAAATCCTTTAATTGTGTTTGTGTCCTTTATAAAGTTTATATCTCTGCTACCTGGCATTACATCTTATGACACATATGGCCAGGCCCAACAAGGTCTCATTTATGTCAGATCCAGCCCTCATAACAAATGAGTTCGACACCCCTGGAGTAGACAATACTGACCTTGAAAGATCAATAGCCTGAAAGATCAGTAGAATACTGTTTCATATGTCGTTCAGGGGAGGGTTGTGGTTCTGTAATACAGCATCTGTATTTTGCTTCAATCCCTGGCACCTCCAGTTAAAAGGACCAGGTACTGGGTGAAATGAAAGGCCTCTGGCAGTGTTCCCTCTAAGCTGAGTTAGTGTGAGCTAGCTCACAGGTTTTTAGCCTCCAACTCACACATTTAACCCTTAGCTCAGGAAGGATGGCTCCAGAGCAAACTAATTTATGCAGTAGCCAAATTATTTGCTCACAACTTTAATGCCAGTAGCTCGCAAAGTGGGATTTTTGCTCACAGGACTCCACAGCTTAGAGGGAGCACTGGCCTCTGCCTGAGACTTTGGAGAGCTATTTTTGTCAGAGTAGGCAATTCTGATCTTGATAGATCAATGGCATGACTCAGTATATGTATGTGTTGAATACATCAAGCTGCCTTATACCAGTTCAGTCCATCAATTCATCTAACTCGTATTCTCTACTCTTGATGGCAATGGCTCTTTGGGGTCATGGACAGAGAAAGGCTCTTGTAAAAAGAAAAAGAAAAAAAGAACAGCCTTGCTGAATCAGACCAGTGGTCCATCCAGTCCAGCATTACGTTTCACACAGTGACCAACCAGATGCTTCTAGGCCTACAAGCAGGACACAGAGACCAAGGTCTCCCCCCTGTTGTTTTCTCCCATCATTTACTATCTCTGAACATGGAATTTACTCTATCCTCCATAAAGTTGTCCAATCACTTTCTGAAATGCTTGCAACTCATCTGAGGATACCAGGGATGAAACCGAACGTGCAGAACGCCTGCATGCCATCACCAAGCTGCAGCTCCTCCCTGTAAGGATGGCCTTGAGGACATTTTGCCCTTCAACCACATCCAAGGCTACTGCACTTAAGAGGCCAACCATTCTACGGAACTTAATGTGTGAAAACAAGCACTTCTCGCTCTCATTTCCCTACCTTCCAAGAACTACCAGGTTTTTATCGTGCTCAAAGCCAATAGCAGTAAAATGGACAGAGGAACGATGCTCTTATTCCTGTGTTTGCCTTCATAAAGGCTTCTGATTGGTACCAGTATCCCATCTTTTGGGGAGTGTTTTTTTTTGGGGGGGGGGGAGGAGCTCTTTTCCCACATGCACAGACAGCTGGAAGGTACTGGTGAATAGTGCTAAAAAGCCCCCAACTGGCAGGTAGACCCAGAAGCAGAAAGCAGCTGGCAGGGCTCCTCTCTCGCTGCATTCATATTGCAGAACCCCCCCCCCTCCCAAATGCTCAAAAGGTTTTGTTTTCTTTGTTAGCAGCTACCATGTGATGCAAACACTGACTGCAGCAGTTGATTGACTAAGCTGGTGCTGTCACACCGAACACAAAGAGACGGCTTTGCAACCATCGGGAGCTGGCTGATATGAATGAAGACTAGCAACAGCACATATAAACAAACAATAGCTTTTCCCTCCATGGCCCTAACCCTTCTTTCACCAAGGGATCCAAAGCAAAGGAAACATTTCAAACTATTTTGGAATTGAGATGTAAATCTTGGCCCCATTTCAGTGGTCGTCATTTATTCCAACTTTGATCATATGCACAGCAGTTAACTTGGAAACAATCTACTTGGTCTTGATGAGTCGCAGCAACACAGTGTTGGTGTCAGGGGTAAAAATGCTTTGGGGAGAATTGTAAAAAACCGGGATTGGGAAAAGAGCAAGAGCGCGCCACAAAAGTCCTTGGCGAACCCACAAAAACTCCATTGTTGTTCACCTTTCAGAAGCAACATGGACCCCTGCAGCAGCCCCAAACATGTCTAGACTATAAAGGTCACACAGCAAGTTTACCTTGAAATAAGGAAGTTTAAATAAACAATTAATAATGGTCTGGTGCAGACATTATGTTCTTGATCCTACTAGAGATTGGCATGTGTTGTAATCTTCTCTTCCACTCTCATATGTTAATTCCCCCTCCCCTATCATTATTTTTCATCCCCAGGAACAGGATTTCAGAGGACATTCTGGGCTGCCCCAGGAGAAGGGACATTGGGCTGTGTGGGCAGAAGTTCTTGCACTGGTGGAAATGTTAGGTTGGATCCAACCCATTGTTCTCCAGTTTTGCAATCCAGTTTTATCCACTCTTGGTTTATATTTTATTCTGTTTGTATTGCATTGTTTTAATTGCATAATCGAGTCTCCGCAAGAAAAAGTAAGTATTACAACACAGTGGCTCAGATCCTGCAGGAAAAAAAAATCTATACTGATAGAAGTACCTTCTACCAGCAGAGTGGGACTTCTGTTACTAGAGAGAGATTGGATTTATACCTCGCCCTTCACTACCCAAAGGAGTCTCAGAGGGTCTTACAATCCCTTCCCCTCCCCACAACAGACACTCTGTGAGGTAGGTGGGGCTGGGAGGGCTCTCTCGAGAACTGCCCTTGAGAGAATAGCTCCAAAAGAACTCCCCAAAGCTGCTTCTGGATAAGGGGGGGGACTCCCCCCAAACAGCATGAAACGTGACAAGCCGCCCTAACACTAGTTAATAAAACCATAATTGGGCTATGCGCAGCGCAGTTTGATCTACTTACACTACAAGTTCTACAAAATAATTTACCCGGTGTTATTTAAGGCTGGGCCCCTCTTAGTAGCAGCCAACAAAGGGCATACAACGCACATCCCATCAAGACCATCTCTACCTTACACACAACCTTTGCTGCTGCCATGAGCCTGCTTAGGCGGGGAGGGCGGGGTACAAACTTGAAGACATAAATTATTTGCCCATCCAGAGTTGGGCCACTGACCCCTTTGGTGCTTAGTAATATATTTGGCAGATCAGGGATACATTGTGCTTGTTAAAACTCAAGCAACCACTGTTTTTACTGGAATGCAGGCTATTCACCTGTCTTCAGCTTTAAGCAATAGCTACGTTTTGGTTAGAATCAGCTTCTTGGAATATTGCCCAAAATGAAGTTAAGGGGGGTAAAAAAACCCCAACCCTCTCCAGGGTTTAGTTCACTGAGCACTGGGTGGTAAGCAGAGCAGCAATGCTTTGTGTTGTGTCCAAATGGTAACTTGCCAATTCTCCAAGGCCCATTTAAATTAGATGCTACAAAAGACATGTGTGAATTGTTGGCCTCAGTGGTATTATTTCTCTATCTTAGAGATGTGGCAGGCTTTACAGGGAGTTTATTGGCATTACTTTATTAGACATCTGTACTCTACTAAAACCACAAGCAGTTAAGGCTAGAAGGGTTTCAAGCATACAAGGTTTAAATTAGCATGAAACTAGAATGGGAAATATGAGGAGTTGAACTGTAAAAGACAACTGAAAAACCCACCTTGGGTGCTGGAACACCTAAGAGTATATAGTCTTAAATACCTTAAATGATTATTGTATACTAATTGCCTTAAAAATACTTTTCTCCTTCTTACAGTAACAATAAGAATACAAAATTCTAGTTTGTTAACAGGCGGCACCCTACCCCATTCAGTGTCATGAGATCAGCAGTGTTGTGTTCTATGGTTAAAATGAAACCATGTGTGCTCCTAAAGTCAGAGTACCCCATTTTGATAAGGAAGGAAGTTAGGGCACAGAGAAGTAGATGTAGATAGCCACTGATGGCCCACTCTCTATCCCTAATCCCAGGTTCAAACATTAAATATGAACCGGGCCTAAGAAAACAAACCTGTGAAGGATTATTAAATATTTGAGGTACCGACAAAAATTGTATGATGAATACTTGATCTTCCTCATCTCAATTAAGGAAACGGTGCAATCCTAACACCACATCCTCGGTGTAAGCCCACTGAATAGGCCCGTGTAGGATTCCAAGCAGACCTGTTTCAGGACTACTCTCCATCTCCTTCGATCATCAGTTCTTTTCAAGAAAATTTTAAACTATGCAATCTTCACATTCTGAACACATGTAGAGCCAGAGCTTTCAACAAAACTGCAGTTTAATTTCAGAAAGTGTTAAAATATATTGTACATCAATTTCTGACATACTACGTTAGTATACATAAATGATGGTCTCTTGAAACTGTATTTATGAAATGTACATTTTAATTTAAATACTCAGTATACACTGCACTTAATCTGCATGTTGCATTTATTAAATACATTAAAATCTGCAATGTAACAAAACGTTTTCTGCATACGAAATTCAAAACACCATTTTAAATGAACAAAAGATGGCTCACTTCATTTTTTTTAAACTAGTGCGTAATACACCAGCTCAGCTCCACCAACACTAGCTGTTCTTTCTTTTTTATTTGACATTGTTCACAGACTATTACATATCACAATAAGAGTGCTGGATAAAACATGAGGTACGAAAGTGGTTCAAAGATTATAGGTCATGCAGATCATGCTAGACAGCAAAGAAAAATGTGAATGAGAACACTAAATAAAAATACATAAAGAATGTGCATTATAAAATAAAAACTCAATTACACAGCTTTGCTTCTTTGGTTACAAAGTAGGTTGAACAATTTCACAGCTTTTTATTCCCACCCAAAAAAAAAAAAAAAATCATACGAAATGTCAAAAAGCAGAGGAATCATGGCAATTTCTCTATTAGAAAGTAGAAACAGAAATGAGCAAAGTTTTCTTCATCAAAATAGCCCATCAATTATTATCTCACAATGACTGGTGACTACCTGTACAGATGCACTATGGTCTTCATACTTACACTATACAAAAATTTACATTCAAGCTGGGTCTTAACTACTGAAAATAAATACCAAAAGGTAAATTGCCATTAGTGTTAGAAATATGCCAGGATTCTTTTGTTCAATTATTGCCTAAACATTTTATCTATTAAACTCAATCCTGTCTATCGGGTTTTTTTACTGATACTTACATTTATTTTTAAAAAATTAAAAGTTCTGTGACATTGTTCATGTACATTATGAATAGCAGCCCTGTAATAAATAAAACACAAATAAATGAAACTAATGTAGGCAAATGTTATTTGTAACTGAAAGGACAGTGGCTCTAAAGATGAGTTGTTACTATGTGGAAAAGCAAGGCTCAAAGCAATCCATGAGTAATGGAAACCTTGAAGAGCCTCGCCAAAGCTCTTAAAGACCCCACTCATGCGCACCAAATAAATGCAGACTTTTGCATTATAACTCCTTCTACCATTTCCCTTGTGCACTGATGGCTTAATTGGACACCAACTGTGCAGTATGACATCTCAGTGAGGGAAAGATCTTGTAGAATGATTGTCTAATACTGAAAAGGCCAAAACACACAACTGAAGCATGGCTACTTGCTTTCATATAAAGTGGAAAGAACACCAGTGGCACACAAGGACAGATTGCTTTCAGTTTTGAGGCAAGAGAGCTTTACGCTGAGGAGACATTCGGCTGCTGCTGCGGAGGTTGCGTTGGCTGCGGAGGCTGTGCTATCACTGCTTGCTGTTGAGAAGTGCTACTAGGGTTGGCCTGTTGGGTTGAGAGTTGGGATAACTGATCATTGTTTGAGAGAGATTTTAACAGTGCATTTTCTCGTTCAAGTAAAGAGTTTCTTTCAACTAATTCTTTTATTTGTTCCTTCAGTACTTCCACTTCTTCTCTGACTGCATACATCAAATGGCTTTTCACCAGATCCTGTAAATGGCAAATCAGTTGTTAGACCCTTCTGTTCCAGACTCTTGATTTAGTCAAAATTATTGGTTATATTTCTATTGTCAACTAAATATGGATCCTAGCAATGCAAATAAAATAAAAAGACAAGTTTAATTACAGAAGTCTAATACAGCATAAAATTGCTATGAAACACCCAGTTCTAAAACAAATGTTAACTTGATAGTTTTAGGTCTCAGCTGTTAGAAACTCGTAACTACCAGCATCTGGGGTTCCATGATACTTAACATGATCATCTGGAAATTTGGATTATAGCATCATCTATATGCAGATAATGCCCCATCTTCTCCTTCCTTGAGTCTGACTCCAGGGAAGCGGTGGGACCCCTGAAGCAGGATTTGGAGAAGGTAAAGGGCTGGGTGTAGGAAAAAAGGCCGAAACCAAAGTGCTGATAGTCAATACATAAATCCATGTGGGATTATGTAAACAACTGTTTTTGGATAGGATTACACTCCCCTTAAACACACTTGGTCTTGGATGTGGCTCTTTTGGAAAAATAAGCAGTAGAGATAGCCAGGAGTACCTTTTGCTAGCTTTGGCTACTCTGCCTTTCCTAGAGAGGGCACCTCTGGTTATGGTCATAGGTCCCAAAATCCAGATTAGAATACATAACATGGTCCATGCGTTGCTGCCTTTGAAAAATGTCTCGAAACCACCAACTGGTAAGAGCAAGGTTTCTAATGGGAGCCAATGTGGGAGAGCACTTAACCAGCTTCACTGATTGCCAGTTTGTTTTTGGGTACAATTCCAAGTGCTGGTGATAAATTCCTAAATGGCATGGGACTAGGGTATCAGAAGACCTTTATCTTAAGAAAAGGAGGGCTTGCTCTGTGTTCAGCTCTAACCTCAAACTGGTGGACACATGGGCATAGCTTTTTTAGATACTATGCCCAGATTTATCCATCCCACCCACCTCACCTGGCTCTTTCTTCGTGTTTTGATGCCATACTATTTTTTTAGTTGTATTTTTAATGTGCGTGTGTGTGTGTGCGCGCACATACATGCGTGCACCTGGAAGTCATGGCAACCTCCGGTGACTGACTCCTGCTGGGGGCCTGGAGGATATACACAGAGGTGGCTGAGTAAAGCCTGCCCCCGCCTCCTGCGTTTTAAGGAGGTCTCCCATCCAAGTACTTGCCAAAGTCGAACCTGCTTAGCTTCTGAGATCTGATGAGACTGTTGCAAAACGGTGTTTATTCTGAAGGGCTTTTTGAGGTATATACAGTTGGTGACTACAGCTACTTGCTATTCATATGACGACTTGTTTTTATTCATTACTTTTTATTGTGCTTTGAGCCACCTTTAGGATTTTTGGATTTCATTTTGATGAGATTTTATTTTTACACTGTGTATTATATTTGTAGTTTTTTCTTACTTATGAGCCATTTTGAATTCTATTTATATGCACCTTAAATAAAGTATGCGTGAATGTGGCATTCAGGAACCACGATATCTAAAAATTCCATTTCAGTAGAGTCCTATTCTCAAAAGGTATGGAATTTTTTGGTGATACTCACCCAACATTTTTGCAACAAAGATATTAAAGCAGTGCCCTAGTTAAGAGACCCTCTAAAATGCTGACCAAAGATGCACAAGCTTTTATGACTAAATGATAGATCAAGATGGGTAGCCATGTTAGTCTGTCTGTAGCAGTAGAAAAGAAGAAGAGTCCATCAGCACCTTAAAGACTAACAAACTATGTGGCAGGGCTTGAGCTTTTGTGAGTCACTGCTCACTTCTTCAGATACCCGAAGAAGTGAGCAGGGACTCACAAAAGCTCATGCCCTGCCACATAGTTTAAGTCTTTAAGGTGCTCCTGGACTCTCTTTTCTATCACTAAATTAGTATCCTATATTTCCAAAGGAGCTTAAGAGTTATTTTAACTTCAATGTACCCGTGTGTGATAGATTAGGCTGAGTGACTGGGGGATGCCCAAGATAAGCTTCATGGCCAAAATACGGAACAAACACGTTTGTGTCACGCAAGCAGGGTCAAACAGGAAAACAGCTAAGCTGGAAAGTGGGTTCATCTTTCTTGTATACTTTCAGTGCACTGTCAACACTTCCGTAAGTATGTACAGCAAACTTAACCCCTGCCAGCTGAGCTTCTCATCTTCATTAGCCTTGTAAAGCTTCAATTTCCTTATTTTGTGAGCCTCTGTGGAAATAGCATCTGAGGATCTGTGCCACAGACAAGGTCTGTTATACAGAAACTCTCCTCGATGCTATTTAGATGTTGTTTGTCTCTACAGCCACCTCAAATTTGCCAGAATATTTAGCTTGAAATGCTGTACATTCTTCTTGATTATGCACAAATAATGCTTTTGTCTGCTGTTACTTATTAGAGTGACACCAAGGTTAACTGCACTACTACTCTGTAAACTAATCCACTTGCACTGCAGGGCTCTCCAGCAGTTCTGTGCTACAATGCCCGTCCATAAATACTTATTAAAAAACAGGGGCCTAGCTAGTCCTGCCTAACCTGATAGTTCAAGTAAAATTGTTGTATAAGACAGGCCATGAAGTAATTTGAACAGATGAAGCTGTTTTTAGTACTGTTAAGGAACCTTATATCAATACGAATATACTGACATGCTGATGACAATAAGCTGAACCCTATCTTCTCTGCCTTCTTATTTCCTGGATTGGGAATTAGGTAAAATTCCGCTCCCACCCCAATAGGTGAGCAGAATAAGCTTTGCACTGAGATTTGCTCCACTACTGCAGAACTCCAAGGAAGGGCCTCAATGAACTCCTCCAATTTAGAGTTAGGATCCACCCACAGACTGAAGCCAATCAACTATGAAACCCAAGAAGCTTGTATCAGTTAATAACAAATAATCAGCTAGACAATGGGATATGCACCACTTTATACTTTGAATGTTATTCTTGCCAATATTCACTTATATTTTAGTGCAAAGATGGATAAAACGTATGCCATCCACTTTCCATCCCTAGGATTTTCATGATTCTTTAAAATGCTAGGAATTTCTGCTGTCTTTTCTGCTCTAAACTTTAACAGCCAGAGAAAAGCAGCTTGAAAATGTAATCGGCCTATTGACTGCATCGATTTACACTGTGTAATCTGCCTCAAATCTCAGTGGGAAAGGCGGACTATAAATAAGTTAAATAAAATGAAAATAAATTTCCTACTTACCATTGCCTGTTCTATTTTGTTGTCAATGGCTACAACACTTGCACCAGATGCACTGTTTTAAAGACAGAGAAAGAACACATGTATATGAATTGCAATGACTGTCAGAATGTTGTCAAAACTCTTAAAGGCATTTGAGGATTCAACACGTTTTTCATACAACAAACCTATGAGATACATCAGTAATTTCTATACATACTCAAGAACAACTAAGAATTGTATCTTCAGATCATAATAACCTGACAAATGCTAAATATGCCTAAGACCCAATGAAATCAAATGGAATTTAGTACTTAACAAGTGAAACGAAGGCTGGTATACACTTGCAGAGAAGTGAGATGGAAGAAAGGCAGTAGAGTGGACCACACCAACACAGGCTACCATTGAGTGATCACTTTGAGTGCTCCTATAAGAGTGGGCTTGGCTAGGACTTTGCTCCCTGATGTGCTAGTTTTTTATCTGCAGGGAGCTTTTCATGTGGGGGAGCACTTAAAAACTTCTGCAACTTGCAGCCTGAAGCGGTACAATCTGTTCTACTATTTATTTATTTTATTTATTAGATTTCCATTCCATCCTTTCCCAAAGGCTCAGGGCGGATTACAACAATAAATCAATTGCATATAAAATACATAATATATAAGATAATAAAATGAGACACTGTCCATTCAGAAATAATCAATAAAATATAGAGAACTGAATGGGTGGATGAGTTCCAGAAGAGCCAACAAGATCAGGAGAAGGCCCCCCTGAACAAGGCTGACTTGCAAGCCCAGCAGAAGCTCGGAAGGTCTCACAGGGCTCAAACTTCGTCCAGCAAGATATTCCACCAGGACACTGCCAAGGTAGAAAAGGCCCTTGTCCTGGTGGTAGCCAAGCAGACCTCTTAGAGGCCTGACCCCAGCCCCAAGTTGCACAATGAGGAGCACAGCGAACGAAGGGGATTCTAGTGAGAGAGCCAGCACCTCAGATATGATGGTTCTAAACATTATATTGAACTAGGAATAAGGCTCGTTGTGAAAATAAATACAACGAGCTCTAGAAAGAGGCTCTGGGAGAGTGCCCCGGCCTTGGGTACTCAGCGTCAATTTGTTGTGGGGACCTCAGCAGGGTATAATGACACAGAGTCCACCATTTTCTTCAGGGGAACTGATCTCTGCCATCTGAAGAGCAGTTGTAATTCCGCATGATCTCCACCTCTCCCCTGGAGATTGGCAACAATGGTTCCCCATGAGGGAATGGCTGGTTTGGAGGGTGGAGTCGATGGCATTGTCCCTGTCTGAGGTCCCACCCCTCCTCAACCCTCCCTCTTTCCAGGCCCCACCCCTCAAATCTCCAGGAATTTCCCAAACTGGAGTTGGCAACCCTATCTCTCTCCCAGCAACCAGCAACCTACCGTTATCTGCCCCCAGGCTTTAGCTTTCCATCTCCTCCCCCTCTCTCCTAGTGAGCAGTTGTAATTCTGAGTGATCTCCAGCCCCCACCTGGAGATTGGCAAGAATGGTTCCCCATGAGGGAATGGCTGGCTTGGAGGGTGGAGTCTATGGCATTGTACCTCCACTTGTTTAGCAAGGCCTGTAGCAGGAAAATATTTACCGGGGGGGGGGTGAGTACAGTGGTGATGAGCAATGTTCCCTGTAAGCAGTGGAGTCTTGTGAGCAAAAATTCTACTTTGTGAGCTACTGGCATTAAAGTTGTGAGCGAGCGATTTGCCTGCTGCATAAATCCGTTTGCTCGGGAGCCATCTTTCCTGAGCTGAGACAAGAATGTGTGAGCCAGAGGCTAAAAAGCTGTGAGCTAGCTCACACTAACTCAGCTTAGAGGGAACACTGGTGATGAGCACATCATTATTTATTTATAGTTATGAATGAACTATGATGTACTACAAAGTCCCTATAAGGGATCATTCAATAAAAAAGGTTAGATGATAACCCATTTTTTTAAAAACCAAATATCCTTCCTTTATTTACACATGATGAACAGAGTCTTGTAAATGCATGAAGATCCCCACCCCCATATTGTCCTACTTCCACTTTACTGTGTTGCAGTGTGCCAAATGGGAATCCCCACCACCACCAATGTATCACCATAAAAGTGTCTGTTTCTTCCTCTGAGCATGAAATGAGGCTTTGCTAGCAGAGATTACAGAAGAAAGTGTGTTTTCTTGGGGGGATGGTCCCTTTGATTCACAACTTTATCTTCCACTGAACTCACACACACCCCCAAGCCCCAAACCCAGCTCCAGTTTGGCTCCACATAACTTGCTTTAGGAAAACTTAAGGTACTCAGACTGGAATATAATAGGGTTGCCAATCTCCAGGTGGGGCCTGGAGACCTCCCAGAATTACAAGTGACCACCAGACTAGAAAGATCAGTTCCCCTGGAGAAAATGGCTACCTCAGAGAATAGACTCTATAGTATTATACCTGATTAATGCCCCATCCCCACCTTCCCCAGGCCCCTCCCCTGAATCTCCAGGAATTTCCCTATATGGAGTTGGCAACCCTAGTAAGTAAGTGTATACCCACTTCTCCTTCACAGCTACAGCCTGCCAGGTGTGCAGGGGAAGGGGCGGCTTTTTTGCTTCACCCAGATGGGAGGAGAAGCTCGGGAGGCTCCCCTCTACAGATACTGACACACACACCCCCCCGCTTAGCCCAGTTAAAAGAGAAGACAAAACTGCTGTCAGCACCAATTCATTATCACCATTTTACAGTGATTTTAAAATGTCGTGATGCCCCAATCCACTGTGGGCTTGTGGCGCAGAACTCTTTCCTCCCATCCCAGGCATTTTCAAGGGCCAAAAAAAAAGCTGCATGGGCACCAACCAGGGTTGCCAGGCCCCCCTTGGGTAACTCCTGGATATTTGGGGATGGAGCCTGGGAAGGACAGGGACCTCAGTGGGGTACAATGCCATAGAGTCCACCCTCCAAAGCAGCCATTTTCTCCAGGGGAACTGATTTCTGTAGTCTGGAGATGAGCTGTAATTCCCTAGCACCAGCACACACGGTAAAATGGTCATGAGCCTACTTGTGAAAGGCAGAATACAGAGGCTGCTGCCACCACCCATTCCAACCATCTTTGAACATTCCCCACCAGGGCTACAATAGAGCCCCCCCCCAAAAAAAACCCTTCTACCTTAATGTGCTGCAGATCAAAGGAGCTAGGAAGCTAAGGTGGGGGAAAGGACTGTGTCCTGCTTCAGAGCACACAGGGGCAAACTGCTTTGTGCTGGAAGCAAGGTTTAGAGTAGCCTGTGCCCTAGGACCTCAATCCAGTAACTTCCAAGGCACACTAGATTTAGAGCAAATTGATGTATCACATTTCAGATTATTAATCCTGATTAGCTGGATAAGTGTGCATTTTCCCCCAAAGGCCCAATACCCTGCATTCCACAAATCCACTTGCCAGCTTGCCAGTGACAGGCATGTTTTGTCACCTTGGGAACTTCTAAGCAGCAGCACGTGCAGCCACTGTTGATAGGAGCAAAGGCACACAAGCACACCAGCCAGGCTGATTGCTGGGACACAGGACCATAGCTACCCAGGGGCAGTAGGGGGCTAAACCCCCTCAGATGTGCCCAGCTGGGCCCTTTCTGGTGGATGCCAGATCCTCCCCTTCCTGTGAAGCCTACAACTGCTGCCGCTCTGAGCCCTTCACTGCAGGAGTGTGGAAAAAGCTGGGGGGGGGGGGGGGGGAGAGAGAAGGGAGGGCCGAGCAAGCCCACAGCTGGCTCTGTCCCCCCCCCAAGTCCCAGCACATGCAAAGGGCCTGGCTGCTGGTAGGGAGGGCAGCAGTGAGAGCAGCTGCCCTGAGCAAGCACACAGCAGTCTCCGCCCCCAGCCCCAGCATGTGCAGAGTCCTGCCTGCTGGTCAGGAGGGTGGAGCAAGTGTCAGCCAGCCAGCCACTTTCACTGCTGCCCTCTCGACCACCAGCCAGGCCCTTCTCCCCTCTCCTCTGCCTCCCCCCCCCCCCAGCCATGTGCTTTCTCTGCATGCCTGCAGTGAAAGGCTCGGAGCGGTGACAGCTGTAGGCTTCCTTCACCCTTCCCAACACAGAGCCACTATTGAGTTAAATAGCTGTACACAGTGAGTTTTTGCACACATCTGATGACAGCCCTCTGCCAGGAACTCTGCCAAGCCTCTAAAAGCAAGTCTGTGAAAGTGTCCAATAATTAATATCATTTAGTTAATTAAATTAGCCACAGTGCCCCCCCTCTTCCCCCCCCCACGAAAAAGGTCTAGCTGCAAGGCTGGGCCCAGGACTTCTACTGGGGTCTACTGCTACAGCCCCCCCCCAGGCCCTCAATCCCTTCTTGCTTGTCTTCTCCTGCCTGCTTGCTCACTTATCTGGACACTCATGGGGTCTGGTAACACGGACGTTTAGTGCGGGACTCGCAGCTTCTAAAAGCAAGTCTGTCTCCAATAGTGAGTCTCCATCAATTAATATAATTTAGTTACTTAAATTAGCCACCGTGCCCCCTTTGCCCCCCATGAAAAAAGTTCTAGCTACAGGGCTGCTGGGACAACAGAGACAGAACTGGGGAAAGACCCAAATGTCCTGCCAGAGCAGAGTGCAAAGGGAGAGGATACGGCCCACCTACCACTTGATCTCCTTCACTGACTTCCACCTTAAGGAGGCTGGCCACCTTGCCAGCCCAACAGTGATGGAATACAGTACAAAGCAGTGGCTGGAGTCACCGATGGAGACAGCTTCATCTCCATGCAATGGATGCAGCTGATGAGGAGAAAAAATGGAAGAGACATAGATTTGCAAGGGGATGTGTGTGAAATCTTGAGGCTTGAACTCAACCATTTCCCTTAATTGGGGAAGGGGAATACAAACCTCCATTCATTCCTCATGCAATTATATTGGTGGCTTCCATTTATTGTTCCTCTTTTCTTTCCTCCTTCTCCCAATCCCTGGTATTACTACCCTTTTTATACAAGGAGGGGAATCATTTAAGACATGAAGTTTTCATTCCCCCCATCTGAATCCTTCTAATGCCCCCTTGTTTGCTTTTCATTTTCCTATCTTGTTTTAATCTGCTTTACTTC